CTGGATTACAACCCCCGTGAGCGGGCCCTCTACACCTGGAACAACGGCCACCAGGTGCTCTACAACGTCACCCTCTTCCATGTCATCAGCACTGCTGGGGACCCCTAGAGGGCCACTAGGGGCCCTTTCTATTCTGCCTGTGCCCCTTCAAGTTGATCTGTCGCTGTCCTGCCCCGCCTCCCTCCTGCTATTTTTTTCTTTCCCTGCCTTTCTCGAAGCTTTCATTCTCTGCTTCCGTATTTCTATTGGCGCATCTTCTCAATGTTGTCTCTTCTCCTTTATTGATCTGATTTTGATACTCCAGTTCTTTGTCATTCTGCCTTTTTATTGATGTCCCTGTCTCTATTGATCTGACTCTCCGGATCATTCTGTCTCTGCTTGTCTCTCATCCTTCCCCTCTCTTTGCTTCCCTCCCACCATTCCTTTTCTCTCTCTCTCTCTCTGAACCTTTCCCTCTTCCCTTTCAAGGAGTTGAGTGCATGGATCTGTTTCTTTTTATTTTTATGTACACTTTTTCTTTCTGGGTTGCTGGAATAAACGGGACCTTTGACATTTGATGCTTTGGTTGTTCTGTGTCCGGAAGGGGCAGGGGAGGCAGTGTTGGAGGGTAAGTCCAAGCCTGGAGACCCATACCCGCCAGACCCCTTTCCATGCAGCAAGCTTTGTGAACCAGGGCAGGGGAGCCCAGCCTGGGGGGTGGGCCGGGCAAGCCCTTTGGGGAAATAGGCAAAGTTTCAATTGAAAACAATTTGTTTAAAAGCAATTTGATCCAAACACCTGAAAACTGGCCTCAAATGAATATTCTCCATCATTTTTTCACTCATTGATCATCTGGTGCATTGCTGAGCCCTCTGGCAACTTTTTAAATGGGGGCTTTAACAGCTTGGCTGCTTTTAGAATTTGGGTATGAGTGGGTAGGACACAGACGTTTTCATTTTTCTTCTTTTTGCTTTGTGATTTCGAAATCATTTTATATGAGTTGCACCTGTTCTGAGTTATCTACTAACAAAAGGCTAGAAACAGCCTGAAGGTGCACTGGGAGCCTTCAGTTGAACACACACACACCTAAGTCCCATTTATCTGGAAGGGGCTTGGGCAGGTGTGGGCTTGACACTGGGGACCCCACATAGGGACCACAGCTCCTGGAGGGGAAGGACAGGCAAAGCTAGGATGTATCTGAGACAGGAAGGGGTGAGTCAGGTAGAGACTGAAGTAAACTGAGGCCAAATCCTCAGGAGCCTGGGGGGGAGGCTGTGGAGTCACATAAGGGAAAGAGCAGATGAAGGCTTTATTTTAGCCAGATCCCTGGTGGCCTGGGTGAGACAGACAGCAAAGGATGTGGGGAGAGTGACCTCTGGGGCCGGTGGTCAGGAACAAAGGTAGTACTGTCCACCACAACATATGGTCCCCACTGAATCCTGAGCAGAAACATTGTGCAAAGAGCCCCACTGGCCCAGACCCCACCCCCACCCTGCTGAGGCCACAGGCTGTGAAACCTGCTCCTCTGGGAGAACTCCCCCTCCCCCCAGCTCCTCAGCTCTAATTAATGGCCTCCTTGATTAAATCATCTCCGCTCCTTGCTGGCATCTCCGGGAACTCGGGACACCAGGGCCATATTGTGAAGGAATCTAATGAATAATAAATGCGACTGCCTAATGCATTCATTTAAAACCAATTTTTAAAGAAATGTTCAAGAAAAGCAATTAATTTCCATTTAAATTAACAAGTTTGACATGGAAAGGAATCGATTCCTGGATAGACATGCTGAAAGGCACTTTGCTCTGAGATGAGGGGACCCAAACTGGCCCTGCCCTGTGGCCACAGAAGCCTTCACTGGTGCACAGGGGAGAGTGGGCACCAGTCAGCTGGGATGAAGTTTGGCTGCAGGGGAGACTACACTGTTGTCACCAGCCTGAAGGCCTGGGATTTATGACCCCACTTCTGGGCAGCAGGGGGCAGGGGGAATGTGGAGCAGGTGAGGAAAGCCACAGCTACCGAATCATGAATCAGCCTGACATTGAGTGGGCTCTGGGGACATGTTTATCTAACAGTGATGTTCTTTTGTGTTTGTGTTTTGGCTGCTGCACAGCTAGACAATGGGGAGGGGGTCACACCCAGAGGGGGGAGTACTCCCAGGGTCGCACTGGACATATACCTAGAGACAACTAGGGTTACACAGCCACATGCACACTTGAGACATGGATGCCCACAGTGACAGAGAGTGCCACAAAGACCACTTTCGTGCCAGCCAGAACAGGAAAATACACACCCCTCTGCTAGGCAGATTTTAGCCACCTGGGAGTCCATGGACACCTTCTCTGGGCCTTTGGTGTTGAAAGTGCCCATTCTCCAGAGGCCCTTTGCCTTGAAGCAGAACTCTGCAAACCCTCCTGCCCCACAAGCACTCATTTCTGATCCTTCCCAGAGGAACCACTGGGCCAGGAGAGGGGTGATTGCTCCGCGGATCCCACAGAACTATTGACGCAAATAATGGGGCTGTTGCTGCCTGCCTTGTGGCCCCCACAGGCGATGGAAGATTCTGTCAGAAGGTGCAGCCAACTAGCCAGCTCTCCCCAGCCCATTAGAGCTGAAAGTCATTAAACCTAATGACAAATGTTCCAGTAGGGGCAGAGAGGAATTGCTCCAGAAACCTGCCAGACTGGAGTCTGCGAGGTGACCGAGACTCAGGCCTTCCCTCTGATGCGGGCTGGTCCCATTAAGGGGGGTGGCAGAGTGGGAAAAACCACCTAACAGGCCCGTAAACCCCCAGAATGAACTGAGCTCCCAGCCCAGGCCCTGATGCGGGGGCAGCTGTCAGGAAAGGATGGAGAGCTGGTAGGCCACACCCACAGTCCCACCCTAAGAGGAGGGAGAGCCCAGCACCTCCCCCTATCTGCGACAGGGATCCCCTCAGCTCCAAGACACCCCCCTCCCCCCACGTTCCTGTGCAGGGCCTCCCCAGCACCTGCAGAGGTGGCAGGACCCAGGCACAGCCTGCCAGAAGAGCTTGTGTGACAGGGAAGTGGGCACCAGGGTGCTGGGCATGATTCATTCTAACCGGGGTGGCCTGTGTGCGGGGGGCGGGCATGTACAGGGAGCACCCAGGGCAGAGGGCTTAAATCTGGTCTCCAAGGATCCCCTGAAAATCTCCAGCTCCACCTGACCTGCTGAATCAGCTGTGGGGGTCAAGGCAGGGTCCCTGCATTCTAGAATACCCAGGTCTGAGGACCACTGGCACTGACCAGTGCCCTGAAGTCTAGTGCTGGGATGAACTCCTGGATGTCTTCAGGCCCAGAATAGGGAGGCTTCTCAGGGAGGAAAGGCAGCCTGGACAATGGGACACCAGGGGAGGCAGGAGAGGACTGCTCTCCCGACAGTGGCCCCCTCACCTCGGCAGAGAGGAAATGAGACACAGGACAGCAGAGCAGTGGTTCCAGGTTTAATGGAGGTGCGGAGGGTGCTGCACTGCCGCTCAGAGGGCTCCAAGGCAGCAGCAGCCTGGGCCCCACACAGAGCATTTGCTTTTTGCAATTTAACAGAGGAACATGGCATAACCAGAAACAACATAAGGCCCTCCTACCCCCATCCTGGACACAGGACAGCTCAGCTAACTAGGCTTTCCCTTTGGGACAGGTCATCCCCATCCCCTGGGTCTGGGGGCTCTGGGAGCCTCCTTACACCACTGCCCTTCCATGTCAATTCCAAAAGAAGAGGGAATCTGGCGGGGACAGCCCCTACCTGGGGCAGACAAGGAGCCCCTAATGGTGCAGAGCCCTTCTTCTAGCCATTTTGGGAACAATAAATACTGTGTGACATCAGCAGGGAGAGGTGCCCATGCTCGGCTTGGGGCAGTAAGCAGGGTCTGCAGGCCCAGCCACCCCGCCC